AGGCGGGACACCCGCGCCCGCCCCGCCGCCATGGCCCGGATCTGGGCCCGGCCCGGGCTGGCGGCAGCGCCTCCTCCCGGGACAGCGCCGCTGCCAGGCCCCGCACACGGCTGACCCTAACAGAGGGGACCGCCTGCAGCCCACGGTACTACGGTCAGCCGTGTCAAAACCCAACTCACGCCTGCTTTAAGGCAAGCAAAACCTGGCTGATGAAATATAAAGCACAGAATGCCGATGAAGAGCGACTAAAATCTAATCGGGACCGAGCGCGTGTCGTTTATTTGGCGCAGAAAAATATTGAAAGTAATGGAATTGCAAAGTGAAAATAAAAAAAAAACCAAACCCATGGTCCTGAAATTTGGTGAAATACTTTTCTGACTCTTCAGTTGTGCCCAGTGACAGGACAAGGAGGAATGTTCATAAACTGAAACACAAGAAGCTTCACTTCAGCATGAGGAATTTCTTCACACTGAGGGCAGCAGAGCACTGGAACAGGCTGCCCAGGGAGGCAGGGGAGTCTCCCTCTCTGGAGACATTCAAGGTCAACCCAGACACGTTCCTGTGTCACCTGCTCTAGACGACCCTGCCTTAGCAGGGGCCTTGGACGAGATGATCTCCAGAGGTCTCTTCCAACCATAAAAATTCTGTAATTCTATGGAATCACATAGGGTGATCAAAATTTTCTAACCAAATTTTTAAGCTGTAAGATATGCTGCTTTGCTGCCAGCAGAGTAGTATATCAATATTAAGCAAAGGAAACATTGGATTCTGACAAAAAAAGTGTTGCTTTTCTATTGTAACAGATGAAAGTATTTTGCCTTTGCATAGTCTTTATGTCTTACTAGATGATCTTTAAGGTCCCTTCCAACTCATACCATTCAATGACTCTATAAACAGATCAGATGAGTCTGAAACTCAAAATTTTGCAAGGTATTGAGCTTCGGAAAACAGGTTAGTGGCCTGCTCAGGCCCCCACATGAAGCCGCAAAATGTTTATCCACTTTGTGAGAGCCAGAAAGTGGCAGCATCACAGGAGCATCTGCACCTCTGCTCAGGTAACCACTTTGCTGCTGGAGATGAACCCACTTGATTGGATTTTGGTGGAGAAAATTGACCAGAAGCCTTGTGAGCAGCACAGAATTCTCATCAGGTGTGGGTATGTATGGGAAAAGAGCCCTTCTCTCTGGCTAAGCACATACAAGACGTGCCCTATGGAAATGCCTGGAAGATCAGAGGCCTGGAATGTCTCTGTAACAACCTTTCCGCCTGTCCAAATGTCTGTTGCCCCTGCTTTGCCTTGATACTTACACTCAAAGGTTGCTAACAAAGAGTTGTGCCCACAAGATCATTCCAGCCACTGACAAGTCCAAAGCAGCTGCAGCACTGCAGACAGCTCAGCATACAGGCAAGAAGCATTAGAGAGGAAAAGAACGCACCTTATGGAAGGCCCATAGGTTGGGCAGTGGTCAGTCTATCATTGCCACCCAAGCTCCAAGGTGTACATACCCCTTCTGCCCACAGCAGCTCCCCTACACAAAGGTTTTTGCTTTCTGATGCTTTTTACCAAAGCTGCCATCCTAACTGAAGTGCTACATAACGAGATAAGAGAACTGCTAAAGTCACCCAGCTTTTTCAAAAACTCACTTGCAGCGAGGCATTACAATATCATCAACCACTCAAAAACCTCTGAGTTTGAAAACCTAATTTAATTGAGATTACTGAAACTTGTTTTACTAACTTTCTTACCATGGAACATCTTCCTTGTAGCTAAGCCACACATCCGAGACAGCAGATTTTCTCTTTCAAGTGTACACGTGACACTACAAAGTTCAAAACAGTAACGGGAAGAAGTCTGCGAGGATTTTTACTACCTGCTCTCAAACTGCTAGGTAAACACTTAAGATTATTTCTATAAAACGATGCATTACTGCTACTACAGGGACAGATTTATTGTATAGGTTCTAACCTGTACAATACAAACATTTTTCTGCTGAACTCAATGGCTGGTAAGCAACTTCGACTTCCTTTTTTCATCAACAAAATTCTCTAGAAAATCTGTACAATTTCTTAGGCCCTGCAGTAAATCTTACACTAAGTTTACACGTTCTTTTTGCAACTGAACCTGAATACCATAGAGCTGAACGGCATTAGTTGACTTACAGAGCAAGAGCTCCACCGTCAGGCCACTTGCCCAAGGGAGAGTAGCAGCCACATCCTTTAACTGGACCTGCGGCTGCTACTCCATCAAAACCCCAGGTCACATCCAGTGCCAGTCCCAGCTACCTAAAAACGGGACAGCTTTGCTCAGCTTTTGTCCTGGCAGAAATGCTGCAGGCTAACTTAGAAGCAACATTACATGTGAAACAAGTTCCTGTGAAACCCCCCACCGTGGGGGGAACTGGGCCTACCGACCCCCTTAACAGGACATCAATTTCCCTTGGATGGAGAACACGGCCCTCTTTCTACCAGCTAAGAGCCAAACGCAGGATGTTTTAGAAAGGTCAGAACGCATTTATTGACAGATACGTGTGTGAATAGAGCGCCGGGCAGGAGGCTGGCAGTGACAGTCCCTTCCCACGCCTCGGTGGGCATCCCCAGCCCGTGCTGCACATTGTCCCTCACGCCTTCTTCCTCCTGCCCCCGCCGGTGCCACCGCCCGCAGGCTTCTGCTGTGGCTGCCGCCGGGCTCCGCTCTTCTTGCCGCTGCGCCCAGGCCGCTGCTGCCGCCGGCCGCGCTTGCCCCGCTTCGACTGCTTCTTGCCCTTGTTGGCAGCGGCCGCCTCGGCTTCCTCCTGCCGCAGCTGCTTGTTGACGGCGCGGGTGATGTCGAGCACCGGCTTCTTGCTGCCCATGTCCCGCAGCAGCTCCAGCTGCCGGCTGCGCTCGGCCGCCAGGTTGCCCAGCAGCGGCTCGAAGCGGCGCTTCTTGCCGCCGCTGCGGGAGGGCGGCTCCGCCGGCTCCTTCGGCAGGCGCGGCTGGAAGCGGCCGAGCGAGGCGGTGGAGGTGCGGGCGACGCGGGCGACCCGGCGCAGCTCNGCCTGCCCGCCCGCCAGAGGGAGCCGTGGCTCCCCGGAGACCCGCCGGGGCGCCGCTGTGGTGTCACCGCGCCTCAGCTCCTCTGCCAGCGGACCTGCCGCCGTGGCTTGTGGGCATACACTTCCAGTCCCAGAATCAAAAAATCAATTAGGCTCGGAAAACCCTCTGAGGACATCAAATCCAAACTGTGACCAGACATCACTTGTCGACTAGACCAGGGCACTGAGAGCCATGTCCAGTCTTTCATTAAAAACCTTTAGGGACAGTGACTCCATCTCCTCCCCTGGCAGCCCATTACAGTGTTTGATCACCCTTTCTGTGGAGAAAGTCTTTCTAATACTCAACCTGAACCTCCCTGGGTGGGGTTTAAGGTTATATCCTCTTGTCCTGTCACTAGTTGCCTGGCGGAAGAGGCCAAACCCCACCTGGCTACAATCTCTTTTCACCTAGTTGTAGAAAAGGATGAGATCACCCTTGAGCCTCTTCTCCAAGCAAAACAACTCCCTTGGTCATTCCTCATGGGACTTCACCTCCTGGACCCCTCACCTCTGATACTGATGATCACCAGTGATACTGATGAAATCCCCAGTGACTCCCAGGCTGGGCTTGTGTGGGGTTCAGGGTGGCCCCAAATCTGCCTCTTGCTGCCACCATGAGTGGTGCTGAGGTGGAAACTCTGTGGGAAGAGTCAGCACATGAGGGGAGGCAAATGCCAAAAGCAGAGAGGTAGAACCATCGTAGAGTCAATGGGGCCCTGCAGCTTCCCTTGCCTTTGCCTGCTCTAGGGACTTGCCATGGCATCCAAACACTGAGACTGTGACACAGGAACATACTTTTCCCATGTTTGGTGGTTTGTTTGGGTTTTTTTTTTCTGGTGTGTGTGTTTTTAAGCATATGATTCTTTCTGATGCACCTTGCTGTAGAATAGTCCCGCTAAGTGCTCCTTGCAGGATCAAAATTCAAGTGCTGTATTGCAACTCCACCGAGTCTGAGACAGGTGTTGTGGGTAAATCTCCCTGCAGAGAAGGGAGGGGAGGAGCAGCATTTGGGAAGCAGTATCATCTGGCAGATGTCTCAACAGACATAATTATAAGTGAGGCGATTGGGGTGATATGGTGTGCTCCCAAAGGTCAGCTGGGTCAAAGATACCTCCATGCTATTTTTAAACAAATGGGCTACAGAAGAATCCTTTTATAGCTATACAGTGATTTGGCTTATGTGGCCATGATATTTTGAGCTGATCCCTGGTGCCCAAAAAACAACCTCATGATAGCACTTAGCTGTAGTGGAGGGAATTGATGGGTATTTTTGTATAAGGTATAGTTCTCTTGTAAGTTATTATCTAATCTTTGCCTTTACATTAGTTTTGGAGTTATGGAAATTATTCTGAGTGTAATGCCACAGCAGTATTGTAAAAATGAAACAAAATACTGTGTTTGTAAGATAGAACAAATAGCTGATTCTCAAATTCTAATGACTAGCATAACACAACTTACCCACAGTCTAACTAGGAAATTTATTTTCCCCAAATGAGCCATTTTGAGCATTATTTGTATACTATGGAGCAACAGAATCCCTGTGTATTTAAATCCAATATGGTTGGCATGGACTATTTTCTTGTTTACCACAAGATGGCATTGGATAATATTTTGTACCTTGCCTTGAAAGCTCATACTTTGATCTGGAATTGCAGATAAAATTAATTTTAAAGACAGTCCTTTGAAGAGGTGCATAGGCGCTATCTAGATTTAGGCATAAATTTAAGCTTTTGAACTGGAAGGTCCACTGTTCTGGCAGTGTGGTTAATACCTCTACACTGATCTCTAGGTACCCTCCTGTATCCTTATGCAGCTACCTCTCTGAGTTCCTTTGGTCTGTATTTGTACAAAGTCTAGAATGCTTCAGGTAGATGCCTTGGGCTGAGAGGACATGATTGATAATATCAATTGCACTTCCAAAGTTGCTTGTACTGTTAATGATCAACACTGGAATAGCAGAAGGAGTGCATGCCAGAAATTGATCTTGTTTTACCTGAAAACATGTAGAAGAATCTCAGAAGGTAAAAATTACTTTCTGGAAACAGCTGTGTTGATCTGAATTCCAGCCTTTTTGTGTATTCCAAGAATCTGCACCTCAGAGCATGACCCTGCTTTTGGCATTTGCAGTTTGTGATTTCACAGTGTGGCTGGGAAGGTAGTAGTTGGAAGAATTTTGGAAAAGATTTGTAAACAGGAATTTAGAAATAGTTATATATATATATTTATATATATACATAAATAGTCATGGATATTTTGGGAAACTGCCCCATTCTGAGGAGGGTCTTCTGAGCTTGCTGTAGTAATCATAGCCATTCTTTGAGCTTGTACTCCCAGTTTAGGGCTGGGGATTATAGCCAGGTACATGGCTTCTGTTAAGGGAATAGCTGTGTGTGTACTTCTGTAAATCTGGGCTTTCCAAAAGATGAAAGGGTAATACCAATGTTCAGTTATAGAAACAGCTTTTAGGAAATTAATGTTTTTTATTATCTCATGTTTAATTCAGCTTTTTAAAAAGACTTTTCCAGCAATTTTAAAAATAATTATTTTTTAGAAGTGTTTATTAATTTTGATTATCTCTGTTCTGGGGCTCCTGTTTTCCTTTTGGCACATCGAATATCACATTTCACAGACTGCCTGTGGGTTGTGCTCAGCTATAGGGCTCGACAACAGCTAACTCTGGGCACTTAAAATCCATAGATAATTAAACAATTTCATCATTGCTCTCCCTTTCCCTGAGGTACTTTATCTCTTCAGTTTGAACAATAGCAATACATGTCACAGTATGTGCGTATATGTGCTTAATGATGTACTGTTTGCTTGCTTTCTTTACTGGGAGGTGACCAGACAGAGTTTGGATGTTCTTGCAGAGTGCAGTTTTATTTTGGGGGCAAAGAAGGCTGTAGAGTTTTGGGTCTTTTATTTTTATTTTTTTTTTAACCACATGAAAAATTTAGCTGCATGAGAAACGTAAGATGGCAGAGTATAATTTGCAGGAACACTTGTCCAAAAGATTATTTGAAAGCATAATGCAGGATATACGTGATGCACCAAAAGAACTACAACATCAATGTGATATACTGTCAGGTTTGTTTTTCTTGTGAGAAAGAATAAAGAATTATCCTACTTAAATTTTATTTTTGTAGTTTCTGTTCAGCTGGGCTGCAACTTGAAGTTCATGTTTGATAGGAGCTGCACTAATGTAAGGGATTCATGTCTCACTGTTAGTGATACCATTAACTTAGATTTACTCTTCAAACTTTTGCCAATTACCTCTGGATGGCAGTAGATGTAGTTACAAGATGATTCAATCAATTCATAAGCCTGCTGTGAGGATTGTTATGAAGAACACTTTTATCAGGTAAACTCAAAGTGCTGATAATTTTGGAAAATAGTAGAAAGTGCCCCTAAAATATCCACACTATCTCCGAATCATAGCCTTCCACTGACTTTGTTCAATACATTTTGAAGTAAAAATCTGTGCTGTAGGATTTTTTTTTTTGTATAAGGGAGAAGTTGTTTGCTCACTGAAGCTATATTAAGTACAGCAATTTATGGACCCAATTCTGCTTCCTGATACGTTTTTTTACCCCTGTAAGATACATTCCATGTATTTCAGCATGTATCTTATTTCCTAGGGCATATAAGTGCCTTTTCAGTCTGAATAACAAAGCACAGGAATGCGAATTTGGCTAAACAAAGACTCTTTCCTAGTTGCTAGTCCATTCAATGTGAAAAAAGCCTGTAAGGAAAAAAAAAAGCCTGCAAAGATTTAAGGCACCATCTTTTATAAAATGTGAGAGCTGACTTCAGTGGTATAAGAAAATACATCTTGTAGTCAGAGCTTTTCCTATTACAAGAATTATATTTCTCATTACAGATAATGGGGCATTTCTTTTCTGAATAATGACTACAAGGTCTTACAAGCAACCTCATAGGGGACATGCTTAATTCTAAGCAAGTTGTGTTGATGGTGATGATATTATCTGTGCTCACATGCTTCAGAACATTTCTGTTTGGATTGTAAATGAGCCGGTTTAAATTTCCCATCCAAAGATTTAATGTGATTATAGCAGAATGCTGTATTTATTAAAAAAAAAAAAATGTGCAGGTGAAACTCAGGAGGCTGTAGCTTTAGTTCCAAAACATAAGACTAGGTAGTTTGGAATGCAGTTACAAGTGGATAACTAAGCAGAGCCTGATTTTTGGTGCAGAAGCCAGAGCACAGATAGCTGGTGAGATAGCAGGAAGATTTGGATGACTGCAGGCACTGTGGAAAGTGATGGGTGGACCAGAATCTATTTTCATCATTTGACTGGTTGTGACTGTGTGGTTTCACTGAACTGATTTTGGGTAAACAAAACAAAGCTAAGCTAATTTGAGGCCTTCCCAAGTGCTTGATGCCTATCTTGCTATGCATTAGGGAATCAGACTGAGAACAGATTGTGATGTGGTTTGCTTTTTTTATGAGCTTAACTGTGACCTGATTTTTGTTTGAGAAAGTTTTCTTGTAGAACAGTCTTAATATTAGAAATACCAGCAATGGTGTGGCTTGGTTTTGTTGAGTGTTTTTTAGGATAATTTAAAGAGCAGAATGAGAACTTTTTCAGGCAGTGATGGAAAGAATGGCAACATAGTAACACATTCCTGTTCCAGGGTCAGTCCTTCTTATCATCTGTCTAGAGTAGACCTACTTTTTGGCATAAGATTGCTTCTACAAGTTAAAAAAAGCCAGTGAACACATTTCCTTCTTTTAGAACAAATCTGTCATGCTCAGAAATTTGTCCTTGATTAAGTCTGCACTTGTAAACAGAGGAACAAAACAAGTTCCTCTGTTCTTGGATTGGGTTTATGGTTGGAATTATCTCCAACACTGGAAGTGAGATGAAACATGTAAGTCTTCATCCATGAAATAAAAGATGTTCCACTACTGATTTTTGTTGACAGAAGGACACAAGACAAATTAAGTGGAGCAAGAGGTTCAATACCATGAATCTGAGAGAAGGGTGAATGTATGGCTGCTGGCAATGACCATGCCAGTTCCTATAATCTCGTGGTTTTATGAGTCAGAAATAATCCATATCCCAGCAGTGGCCTTCTTGGGATGTGTTTTCAATAGAAAATCTCATCCTTTTATGTGCATGTACTCCATGCATGTGATTAAACCTATGCAGATAACAGCATTCACGTATGCAAGAGATATAAATATTGATTTTGGTAAAGGAAAAAATATGAGACCTGATCTTAAAGCAAGACAATGCAATGCATAAAGGACCATGAATCTTCAGGAACCTTTTGGGGAAGTTTGAACCTGAGACTAGACATAGATCTAAACATCATTTCATACACACACCACAGCCATTTCACACTCCTTTTTCACACTGCCTGAATCTTCCCCCAACTCTTGCTGGATGACATGGAGATGACTGCTGAATTCCAGTTTGCCAAAGGTGTCTTCAAACCTCAGCACTACTTGACAGCAAGAAAAAGGCTTCCCAAACACAGTTTGTAACCTTTTATCCTCCATTTTTCCATTCAGCAGCAAAGCTGATCTGTCAGGATGAAATTTTGTCCTCAGTGTGCTTTTAGACCATTTTGTTCTTAAAGCTACATTAAAGACTTCAAAGTCTTGCTAATATTTTTTCAGTTGTCAGTTATTAATGAAATGGGAGAATAGTCTTTGTTTAGATCTTTTTGTACCCATAAATAGGGAACTTTTAAAGTCCAGTCCAAGATATTAAAGAGGATTTCAACCACATGTAACCACAGGTGACTTTTGTAAGATAAGAATCATCTGTAAACTTCTGTGAGCTTCTACTTAGGATGTATGTTGTGGCTTAGAGTAAATTAGGAGAAATTTTGTCAAACAAGTATTATTCATTTTGAATGTCATACAGCCTAGGGCTTGTGGCTCCACATCATTACCAAGTGACGACAGATTTGGTTAAAATAGTTCTTATGCTGAAAAAGAAGTCCTAGAGGTTAACATAGTCAATTCACACATTTTAGGCCATGCTCACAGGGTAGCTGAATCAGCATAGCTTCTGGGCTGGGGTAGGAGTATGAATTTGTGGCTAGGCGTTTGAGAGGGAACAGCAATCTTTCAAACTGGTTTTTTTTTCCTGAGGTAATTAGCAACAGCTTGACTCACAATCAGGGATGGCTTTCCTTGGAGAAGCAATCATGGTTTGTACCTATACAACCTACCAAACCTCTTCTTGAAGAAGTCTGTTTTGTAAAGGTGGCTTAACTGCTCATGTAGCTGAAGAGATCTCCCATACCTCTTCCTGTAGCAACCAGAGCTCACAGCTTGCTGTATTAAGGGAGAATGGCAGCAATTTGCTGTCATCTTATTATAATATACCATAAACTAAACAAGTTGCTACATAGACTGCTCAGTCATTCCTGCAAAAGGTTTGGGAACATCTCACATGGGTGGAGTGGGAATAACTGGATGCAGGAATGACGTTGGCCATCACAGGGTAACCTCCCTGCTGCTGCTGCTGCTGCTGAATCAGAGCCCTCAGAGCTGGGGCAGGAAATCCCTGTCCTAATCTGCAGTCAGGGCTCTTGAGTCCTTGGAGGGGATGAGACTCTCCAAGCTGCTCAGAGCCTCCCTCATGCTGCCAAAAACCCAAATCAGCTGTTCTGCACAGTGCACTTTATTCTTTTTGTTTTTGGCAATGTGCCTCTGTTCC